ATTACGGCATGTGACTTTTCTGGTCAATCAAATGGCTCCCATGTTGTCGTAACGGAAATTCATGTTCAGACCCATTCGGATGCATTAAACCCCAGAAAAACTAAATGGCCAGAAAAGTCACATGTCCAATTCAGTTTAGTTTTTGAACGAAATTCAGACAGGATCCGAAATTTAGAAACCAAAATTCGTACTCAGACACATTCGGATGCATTGGGTTTTGGAAATTCTGATGTGTCCGAATTTCAGAACATTTGTTCGAATTTTGATTCGGAACCAAACGAATTGCACATGTCCACTTACAATGGAAAATGGAACAGTTTAAGGTGCATCTGCAATGCAATTGGATGGCGTTAGTGAATACACCAAGGATTGGATCTTGTTATTATTAAAGAACATTTATTTTTTGGGATTATTTTAATTTTTCACTAGCAGTTGGTAAAGCTTAGCACAGATTTCTTTGTTCAATTCTACTAAAGAGCTGGCTGAGTTTATGATTTCACTGAGGATTGGATTGTATTAATATTCCAAGACACATACTGAAAAGACTTTCTGCACAAAATTAATTTAATAAAAAGTTAATTTATTGTTTTATTCATTTATTTCACATTGTGTTGTATTGATTGTACACACTTAATTAGAAAGTCATATGGTGAGTATTTAGTAGGAAAGACGTTAGATCAGTGAATGCCGAACTACATACAATTATATCATTTTATAGCAATGTAGTGATATTGGGAACATCAGCTGTATCCCTAATAGGCTTAGGGATACAGCGCTATATTTTCTAGAGATCTATAAGTATACATATTCCCAGGTGCTTTATGAACTAGACCCTAGAATATAGAAGACAGCTTTGTGTCATATTTCATTGTTAGCATTGAAGGGGAAGATCTACCGTATTTTCATCAAATGTGTATTTTTAGTTATTGCAACTTTTATCTTATATTTTTTATGCTACTTTTGGATTTTGACATAATTGCTCTTCCATATTTTTGGTATTTTGTTTATTGTCGAAATGTGAAAACTAGTCACTAGGGGCAAAGAAAATTACCCACCGCTATCACTGCTTAACAACTGTTAAGATATCAGCCACATACCAAGAGCATTTTTTCAATAATCGATTATAATCGATTATGTCGATTAGTTGTTGCAGCCCTAATTTTTATCATACATAGCGAGTTGTCGTTAAGAGCACCTTCTTAAATTGACAGGACTAATATGTCTACCACATAGCCAGTCTGTGGGAGGAGCCAGAATTATTGTGAAAGCCGAGAAAACAGCTTGTTTGGGCCAATCAGTATAAACTATCTGAAGATGGAGAATTCCTTTAAATTGTTCAGTAATTTCAGACACAGGAAATAGAGTGAGATTGGAGATAAACGCAGTAAAATACTGAACAGTTTTGCTATTTTATTAGTAAAGCAGCCTGGTGCTACACAAAGCCCCGTTCAGGAGGGAAAGAGAAGAGATGAATATAAAACCAGCTTATTAAATATTCCCTGACTCTTTGCCATTCATCAATATGATTATGACAGATGTACAAACTGCCCTACCGCAGCCCCAGACGAGTCAGCAGAGGAGATATGAGATCGCTTACAGTATCATTTCAGTGCAGACAGTAGAAACTTCGGCCAGCTTGGCAGGGAGGGGAGAGATGGAGAATCACATTAAATGATATACAGTCATTGCCAGTTGACTATTCTGATGAAAAACAATTTGCATAGAGCAGCTACTGTATACACAGAGCCTTCTCTGCGCAGATAAATGCTAAACAAATAGCCTCTGGCAATAGGTAACAGTACAGTCTGATGCCGCAATAAATCAACTCTTTTGAGATTTCACAGAACAGCAACAATGTCTCCTCTGAAAAGTTCAACTCCAAAGAACTTTGTAAAGAATAGAATTTACAGAGCTGGAATATTTTGTGTTGGGGGTTGTTTTGCTGAGATACCATCTAACAATATGCGGAATGCAAGGGTGATGTCTCACTAAAGCTGGTCATGCAATGTTAAAATTTGCTCATAACATTTGTTTGAAATTTGTATTCATTCATTTCCAACCTGAGTCATTTCCTATGGTTGGTCACCATGGTAGCAAACTGTTGGTTAAATCTGACCAACCATTAGATAATCGACAGTCTTACCAAAATTAAAAATTTTTAATGAAAGGCTATTGGTGTATGGCCAGCTTAATCTGAAAGGATCCAGGAAACATAGCATTGAAGATATGAGTAAGCTGTCATTGCTAGCCTCCTGGCTTCCATGCTGATCCTGTAGATTCAATATATTCCGAGGCGCTTTTATGGAGTGAATATAAGGAATTATGGCTTTTCTAAAATTTTTATTGGTGGCGTTCCAGGTCTGTCATCCTGCATTTCGGAAGCATCGAAAACCAGGATTTTTAGAAGGAGGCCACTAAAAGCAGATTTCATATTTTCCTTGTGATAGGTATGCTTTAGAATATGTATGCTTGAAGTGTGTCTTTAAAGTCCGAATAAATAGCCCACCGATTGTAAAAGTATTGCAGCTTTGGCTGCAATACTTACTTTCTATCTAGTGTTGAAAGCATTGAGCCAACAAGGAGAGGGGCAGAATACCTGCACGGTGATCGCGGCAGAGAGGAAGCAACAAAAGTGTCACTGGAGGATCGCATGTGTGGAGGCAGACTCCTCTGGCCCGTGCTGGGTTCAGTCCCCACCCGCTCGCTCATCCGCCTGCTCACTTAATGGGGCCCGCCTGCTGACTTGATGGGGCACACAAGGTAAAGGACAGCTGCTTGTACAGCCCTATCGGCAGCACTGGCCACTGGCCCAGTACAGGTCGCCGGCCCTCAGCAGTGCCCGATGGGTCAGTCCTCCCCTGGTGCCATGTGCTTTATGTATGTGTGTACATCTCGATTCTTTGCACCATTTAAGAACTTAAGGTAGAACTAAAACCAAAAACTTTTGTTAAGTTTTGGATAGCATAAGGGAGGGTTATAAGTTACAACCACTGTCAGTATTTTTTGGTGAGATTTCTCTTCACTTTCTGATAGACAGAACAGGATGTAAGAGGAAATCCCTCCAAAGTGAGGTCAGAAGAGTCACTAGAACTAGTGTTCTCATTAGAAGATTTCTCATCTATTTTTGTTCTGGTAACAGCCCAAAATGTGGGATTTTACTTTCACTTTCAGTGATAACGGTCACCAGGACAAATAGAGAAGGTAAATCTTCCTAACGGGGACGCAGACAGCAATAAAAACCTGTCAAGTGTTCTAAAACCTCCCCTCTCAAAAAATATATCAAAAATAATACGTTTTGGCTTTAGTTGCTCTTTAAGCCTAACAGCTGGATTAGCTGGTAATAAAAAAGAAGGAAAAGCAAATGAGTTATGGAAACCAGAGAGTGGTGGCTGAGATAAGGTGAGGAGCCTTTGGAATCATCGAGAATAACCAAGGACCTCTCTTACAGAGCTACTGTGGTGGCATGGCAGGAGTTGTACCTCCTACATGGACCCAGGGGCGTATCTAGCACGAGGCAAACAAGGCGTTTGCCTCGGGCGGCATTTTCCAGGGGGGTGAGCAGAGGGGACCGTGAGCGGGACAGCTTCGCCTTCCGACATGAGGTAAATGCTCGGACCGTATCTCAGGGTCTGATGAGGAAGCCACAGCCGTTCTCAGTGAACAGCTTCCTCATCAGACCGTGAGATACTGTGTATGTGCGGTTTACTGTCAGTGTGTGTCAGCACGGGACGGTCACTCATCCCAATCGTTCTCTTTCCTCCCCTGTACGCTGCACAAGTACACAGTCTCCCCCCCTCGTGCCTCAGCCCATTCAAAACGGAATGATTAAGTTCCTCCATCTCCCTATGATCGGGACGAGAAGGTAATGTCTTCCCCTGCCTGCCCTTAATGATAATAACTGCCGGGCTGTGGCGGCATCACTGGGGCTGGGGGGTTTGTGCCATCAGTGCTCCACTTCAGGGGGGCTGGGGGGTTTGTGCCATCAGTGCTCCACTTCAGGGGGGCTGGGGGGTTTGTGCCATCAGTGTTCCACTTCAG